TGCACATCAACTGTGACCTTGAGACACTATCCTCTCCTGGGATAAGCATGTTTTTCAGTCCCAGGCATCTCTGGAGTAAAGACTGACAGTTCTTTAAAGGAGGGGGAAAAAAGCAGGTGGGAGGAATGACAGGCTGAAGTACATTTTGGTTTAATAGGATAAAATGCAGCTTGATGAAACTAAGTCAGTCTGCAAGTCACTTGGTCCAGAACAGGATTTTAATGCAGCACTTTCCTCTAACTAGTACCTCATGCGGTGATATTTTTGCTGGTGGAAAACGCATCACCCCTTTTTGGCATTTTCCTTATCCCGTCCTTCTCATCTAACGCAAAAACATCTTCAATTGTATTGCTGCTGCACTAAGGTCTGTAGGATTCATCAGCTGCTCGACAGAAGTCCTCCTGGCAGTGCTGGGAGGCACTGGTTACTGGTGATGGTCTGCTCCTGCTGGACACAGCCCATTTTGTTTCAAGTGGCCCAAGAGCGAGCTGTGAGCGGAGCGTGCCGCGTGGGCTAACGGACCAGACGCTCGGTTGTGCTTCTCCAGCAGGTAAGCAGAGATGATGTCATGACTGGTCCATGTTGAGTTTAATGACCAGGGGGAGAAGGTTCACTGACTGGGCGTGTACCGTGGGACTCCATCTCCAGAGCTGGAAACACACCTGCGACCGAGGCCCTGCTCCAGCTCCACTGGCCGGCAAGAGACAAACCCTTCTTGTCTCACTGCACCTTGTTGCTCCTGCGTGCAAGAAGGCTCCAGCATCTAGTCTGAGGGAAGGTTTTGAAGCTGGGGTGGAGTATGCTGGTTGTGAGATGTGGGACATTGAGTTTCAGGTACCCAAACACTACCCTGGGCTGGGGAGCAATTGCTGAAGACAGGGCAGTCCGACGCAGCTGGTACGATGTTGAGAGTATTCATTCTCCTGCTCTCCGTTCCAATAGCGCCTGGCCATGGGCACGCTCCAGCTCACTCTGCCCAGCAGCATGTCAGGGCACTGCTGCTTAAGCAGAAGGGAGGGCAGGACCAGGCTGTTGAGACCACTGAAGAAAGGGACCTCAGCAGTCCATTCGCTCATTGGCTCGCTCAACTGTTGCCTCCGGCAGATGTTTGTTCAACTCTTCCCTGAAACCCTCCAGCAAGACTGCATGCCCTCCTCAGACAACCCGCTGCAATCCTCTCTCATCTTTACCATTTTGAGATCTTTTTTCTTAGTGCCTCAGCTACCGTTCTTTCTGTTGCTTAAGCGCGCACTTTGTTGTCCTACTCGCCCCCTGTATTAAGAACAGTCATTTTCCTTCACACCTTATTCACCCAGCTGCTTTTCTTTAGAAAACAACAGCCTCATTCATGTCAGTCTTTCCTTGTGAGCTGCAATATCTGGACCTTCTGATTCTTCTCCGAATTCTCTGGTGGGCACTCTACAGCCGATTCGCTCTGTCTTGCTGTGCAAAGCCTGACATGAGTCAGTATTTGAGCTGATGTCTTAACCTGCCTTGCCCTGTGGCCTTGTGGTCAATGCTCCATGTTGTACACATTGCTGCGGTGTCTTGTTTCCTTCTCCACAGCTTTGCTGTCTGGTGTTCAGCTTGGGAGCGGCGCTGCAACACTCCCCCGCCAGACAGATCCAGGCCTCCACCTGCAAGGTTGCTAAAGGCTCTCCCTTCATGCAGCTCCCACTGCTTCCAACTGTTTTATCTTTTTCTCTTCCCGTGGTCCCAAATACCCTGCTTTCTCTGTGCTTTTACTCATTGTCTTGCAACCAGATGCAACAGACATCTATCAGAGCAAAAACCAGGTTAGATATCTGCAGAACTGGGTGGCTGCAGCACTCAGAGGGAAAGCCAGGATGTCCACCATGAACGTATCATCTGGTGCTTGCAGCAATCACTGCCAGTGACAGGCAGAAGCCACAACTACAACCAGGCTTCTGTGGGTTTCACCCAAGCGTTTGAGTGAGTTACCTTGCCTAAACTTTCCACCATTAGCTTCCCAACACGAGGCAGGCTTCTGCTCACCAGCAGATTAACTGGTTTTGAAAAATTTCATCAAAGAGTCCAAGGTGAAATATTGTTGGCTGAAGCCACTGGGCATCAGAGAAGCAACCTGGGACTCCTGGCTGGCTTAACTCCTGCCACCATGGCCAGGCACCTTATCTTTAGAGGAGGAGTTACGAACAGCCCTGACGCGCTCCATATCTGACCACCCATTGGCATTGCACACGGACAACGTAAAGGTATCTGCACCTCTTATGCGCAGGGGCTACGCCGCTGCCTCTGAGATGGCACATCAGTCTTCCTACTGCAGCCTCGCTAGCATGGCAATGCTGATATCAATAGACCTTCTGGTGCTGAACAATTTCAGTGCATATAATTTCCCCACTACTGATGTCACCTCTCGCATTGGCTAATGCATCACTGCATAATGCCTGGAGGATGAGTAAATCACACCTTTTATTTTCTTGCAGGTTCCTTTGACAATGAGGACGAGAAGGGTGGAACGAGGGCAGTGAGAAGCAGAGACTCAGAGAAGGTCTCGGTGGGGAACCTCTCCAGAGCATGCTGCCCCAGTGGCCACCAGAATAATGCTCTTCTGGCCTTCACATCCAAGAACGACTGTCTTATTTCTTTTATGGCACACCACATGGCACCAATAAAAAGACAGACTGATGGCTCAGAGTGATTTCTCGTTAGATGCTATTGCAGTTCAGAGTTTTCTCCTTGGCCCTCGGACATTGTTGAAAACACAGATGCTTCAGTTTTGGGGGTGTGAAGCAGAAAACTACCTGCTCTTGATGTTCTTCAGTAAATGAGAGGCATGGAGGATCTGAAAACTCTCCAGAGCATGGACCAGTCCCTACCACACTATTGTACATTGAAGAGAATGGTGAGGCCACAATTCCAATGAGTCATTTTTACCTTAAAAAAACGCCAAACTTACTGAATATTAGCTTGAAAAACAGTGGAGAAAAGAGTTGTGGGAGGCAAGATTCCCTAAAATCTGCCTAACCACAGGTTAGGGGAGTTGTCCATTCCAATTTTTGTATTTATGTGCTTTCTAGTTATCCCTGGAGGTAGAAGAGCTGCATGGATGCAATCCTCTGTCCATGTACAGTAGGTACAGGCTTATTATGTACCCCCAGACAATGGTGACTCCTGACATCTGAGCCATGCATCTCTTGCAGATGGAGAATCTGGCCCCTTTGGGAATTCCCTTCATCATATCACTTCTGTCCAAGGAAGTGTTAGGGGACACGAGAGTGGGAACAGAGTCTCCCAAGCTCTTGGTGGCTCTTTAAAGAAGGGCACAGCTCTACTCATCTTGTGACAAGTTGGTTGGCTAGATGACCACAGTGATTCGGAGCTGATCTCAATACTTTATCCAAAACAGCCCTCCTTCCCTATCTACCGGTCTATGCGCTAGTTCAGCTAAAAGCTACTGGAGACTTTTGTTCAAACAGAACCAGGTATTGATAAACAAAACGGGATTTAAAAACAGCACATAGGAAAAGACAAGCTTCGATGTTAGTGGTAAGTCTTTTCAGGAGCGGAATTAATTTATTATTATTTTTAATAGGGCTAAAAGTGATTTACTTTTTCAATATCACCACAAACTTTTAAAACAAGTCATCAATAAAGTCAAGCAAAAATAAATTTCAGTCAGCCCTGAATTTCTTCTAGAGCACACATTTCCCCTCCTCAGATATCCCTGCATTAGCACAGGTAACAAATACTTTCCAGTTTTAAAACACAACCATAGCCCAAGGTCCGTTTTTTAGTACGAACTAAGAGAGGACAGGCACCTTTACGAAATTGTGCTGTTAGTTACTATCAACTGCTTAGCAAAAGGAGTGGTATAGAACAGAGGAGGTCATGAATCAACAGAGTATAGATAATTTCCTTTTCAAAGCCAGAAAATCTCTTGCCAGAGGTGATGTAGTTTCAGCCCAGGAAAGAGAAGCAGACAGTGTTTTTAATTATGCTTGGTAATGCAAGAAAATGCAAAACAAACCTACTTTTTTTATATCCCTCATGTAAAATTTTATTTGGGTTGTTCCTTTGATGAAGCATTTATTCTTACAAAGCTTTTAACAACACACTTGCTAAACTCCAGTGTACAAAAATAACTGTGTTAAAAAAAATTACTAAATTTTAGCACAGTATGTCTGGAATCAAATACATTTCTCATACTCTGCTATCTTTTCTCCAGAAACAACTTCCACATCAACGGGTACAAGTACATATTTAACTCAAGATGTAAACTCTGTCCCATTTCTCAGCTGCCTTCTGACAGCTGCCATGATGACTGGCCAGCAAAGACAGGGAATGGGCTCACGCAGAGCTCACCTGCGCTTGGCACCAAAAGCCATGGCGCTGACAGTGATGGATCCATGACACCACATTGGAGTGGAAGGTGGGAGATTGTCACGTCCCAAAGTGCAAGGGAACGACTTTGCAGCACCTTCCAGGAGGGACAGAAGTGAAAAGTGCCCAGCTGCACTCTGGAGAAGATTGACTGGCTGAGGGGAATGTGCTTTACATCCACATCCCTGGTCTCTATCCTGACTCCTCCTAACGTGAGAGTCTCTCCAGCGTCAGCTCCAAAGGCATCGTGCTCCCTACCAGCAGATCCTGCTCCGACAGGCAGAGCAACATCTCACTAGTGAAGAAACAAAATCTACCAAACCCAGCATGGCCCCTTTCCCCCAACAACCCCCCACAAGCAAAGAAAATAAACTTACAGCCTACTCTGGGACTGCTGACAAGTACAGTCACTCCAGGCACGAGCACCAAGTCCTGCCTGTCAAGTGGCTGCTCGCGACAGACAGAGCACTCCCTTTCGGGAGCAGAACTGGAGACTGTGGATGTGTGACTGGCGCCTGGGCGCCGCCGCCCCGCTGCACGGACAGACTCGAATTCAGGGTGCTAAGAGAGGGACAAAAATAAACAGAAGGCAGAGCCGGAGCCAGTAAATGCCAGTGGACCTATCTACTCCTTCATCATCAGGATTTCTGTTTAGATTTCCTCCTCCTCTGTTTTATGAGGAATAAATTCTCATTGATATCAGGACTAGCATCTTTCTGCTTTTTCCATTTCTTCTTTCTTTTAGCACCTTCCAGAGGCTCCTGCGCATACGGAGTCTTGCTGCCTGAGAATGCCTGGAAAATGGACTTATAACGGATTTTGCTGCCCTTACATGCCTGCCTTTTACACCCTCTGGGGAAGTCTTCCTCCATCTTATGGCGGATTTCAACATCCCTTCTGTGTTTCTCTTTTCTGTGTTTCTCTGCCCGGGACATCTTCATCTTTTTGTGACACTCGCCATCTCTGTTATGTTTCCCATGTTCTTTCCCAGGCTTGCTCTTTTTCTTATGCATGTGCCCCCCATGTTTTTCTTCCTGCCACAGTGTCTCTGGCAGAAGGCCGGCTCCTTGTAGTTCTGCAAAAGAGAGCAGTTTATATCAATATCCACGCAGAAAACCTAAAACCTAGTGCTCGAGTCATCACAGCTTTCCTTACACATGCATGAAGTTAGTTAGCATAGTGTTTTTCTATTGTTAACAGACTAGAATCTTAACAAATTAGTTTAGTCCTCTTCTGTTACTTTATAGCATTTTTAATGTCAGTGGATCTTTTAGAATGAAAACAACTGACAACGCCCACCTAGTGGCTTTGACACAATAAATTTCCGTGATAGACACGGATGAATAACATCACAAATCTTTTAGTACCGTTAGACTACCTGTTCAAATCCCTACAGCTTTTCCTAACACATGAAAAGAATCTCACAATATTTCTAAAAGCAGCAAGCACAGAAGAAAGTATTTCAAAGAACTGAAAGGCACAAGGGATCTCCCAAAATATACTGTACCTGCAACCTTTCTTTCTAATCTGTTTGCTCTTCTCTTGATTTCGTATTCATCATCATAGTAGTAGACAAATGGAGAAGTAGGGAACATGCTCCCATGCATCCGCTTTTCTGAGCACTCCTGCAAAACACATTTCAAGTCACTAGATGTGGCTGAGTTGCGATTTTCCTGGAAGAGAAATAGGTCGGATTCTGCAGGTGCTGCTCTGTACCTGTGGAGGATGTGGCCAGCAATTCTTTAGGAACTGATAATTTTATTACTGTCCAAGAATCCTTCCTGCGCACACAGCAAAACACGCATGACACGAGCCAAGCTGCAGTCCTCTCGCAGCAAACGGAGGGAATCCAGTGTCTTCCCGCGATTACTACACATCTGTAGCACTGATGGAAGCAGAGGACTAGCAGCAGGTGAGTACGAGCTAAACACGAGGTGAACTGCAAATGGAGCCATTGGATCTGGGAACAGGGCTGTCCTGGCTGTGGCCAGGTCCCCCTGTCACCTGCTTTTGCCGCTTCCCGCTGCCTGTTCTGGTCTCCCTGTACAACCACATGCCTGGTACCCTCAGAAGACAAATACCTCTAACGGCAGGGGGCCTTTCTTAACCTGGCTCATTTTGGGTGAAAGCATGTGGCGAAATGTGGCAGACTGAGGGGCCGGGGTGGGCTGAGGGCCAGAGTGTGCAGGTGCAAGAAGCAGCATCCTCCTCACACATCCCACTGGCAGCCAGAACAGCGTGCCTGACTGTATGCCGTTTGCTCAGATACAAAACAAAAGCAAGTCCAGCAGGAGCCTCTGCCGCCTGGTCTGCAGGGAAGAGGAAGAGCCTTGAACCTGGTGGGACGGGGTTGGCTCTTGCATCTTGTGTACGTCAGCCTGTTTCCCAAACACTTGATTCAGGAACGCAAATTTTTTTACCGCTGTACACAAAGTTTTAGCCATGTCTTGCGAGCCAGGCTACCTGGGATGCTTCCTACGGCTCTGTCTTTTTTTCAGATATGTGATATTAACTGACGCTTGCTTCTCCTTGCAAATTGCTTGTTACCTGTTGTGCTTTGCAACATCATCTTTCCACTTCACTGCCCAAATCTAGTGAACTCTGGGCCTTGCCATTCTCAAGGAACTGGCAGGGGCTTTCGCTCACCTGATGCCTCCACCACCAGTGATGCAGCTTTCCTTCCTGCCTTTGCTGTTTCTACCACTCGGTGCCACCTCTTGCAGCCCCTTTACCTGTGTGTGCTCCTGCCTCTCACCCTCTCTTCTTTAGAGGCAGAGTATTTCATGTTTCTCAGCTTATGTTTAGTCTTTGCTTGGCTGAAATTGCTTATCCTCCATGGTGTCTTCCAAAAGGGTGCCATTAGGTTGAGTGATAACCGTCTCGTCTCCATGTGCAGAGAGGAGCATGGACGACCAATGGCAGCTTGTAGCTGGAGCTGACACAAGTCTGAGGGCTCAGCGTTAACCCAATTGCGAAATCCGGCTGAAAGAGACCTAGAAGAGGACACGCAAGTCCATCTGTTGCCTGAGGCTGTTCTCAGTGGCTATTCATCTGAGATATGCATATCCTTGAGGATGCACTGGATTTCACACCAAACACTTTGAACAGACAAGGTGCCCCACACCTTATACTGGCCCACAAAGAAACCTTCTCTCTCACCCTTCCCAGGTCCGCCGTCTACCTCCCTCAGATGTACGAGGAGAGAAAAGCACAACAGAGAAATGACACTTCAAATACCTGTGTTTCACTTGAGTGAAACCTAAGAGTGGCCTTTGGGCAAGGTACAAAGCTGCCTGCCTGTCTGGAATAAATGAAAGAAAATACTATCCCTAAACATTGCCAAAGAGGTTACTGAAAACAACTGAGATTGGCTTTATTCAGGAGTATGCAGAGACACATTAATCTTTCTGTGATGCCCATGAAATGTACTGCTTGAGATCCCGCATGAAATCCAGGGCTTGCTCTCCAGGCATGTGGCCCGTTCATCATTTTTATTTTGTTAATCAGCTGACAGAGAAGCCTTAGTGAACAAAACGCATATGCCACCCAAATCGGCGCTCTTCTATTCCTCTTTATCTCCACCGCATCGATAAACCAGCTCAGCAATGTCCAACACGCACTTGGCCATATCCTTCCCTCTCAAGTAAGTTGCTGCTGCTGCTATACGCTGTGTACTGTTAAATGCTCTTGGAACAGCCTTCGGTGCTGGAGGTATTGCACAGAAGACAGAAAGCAGAGCCTGCTACCAACCTGCAGGAGGAATTTTTTGTGTGATTGGCATACTGGGATGTGAATGCAAGGCAGCTCTGCAGATATTGTACAGTTCCCCCTCCCTGCTGCCTTGAGAACATGCTGCAGCCTGAACAGTGCAGTGGACTGTCCGTCATTAACTTACCTCTTAGTTTTCCTACAGGGATACCCCATACAAGGAGCACATCTTGGCTATGGGCCATAACAGACAATGTTTTGGATGCGTGGACTGCTACGAAATGAACTATGATGTGAAGTCTACTAAAGAAAATAAGATCTTTTTGTCCTTATTAAATCCTTAGTTTACATAAAACCATGACTGCCTTAATAAACAGCACAGCAAATTCAGGAAATATAACTGCCAGGTGTTGGAAACTCTGTCAGTTTATATCTTAACTATTTCCATTTCTACAAACAAGTGATCTGTAATGACCTCTTTACTGCAACCACAGTTAACTCGGGGATTTTGTGAGTTTTTTGCTCTTGCCTCTGATTTTAGGAAAGGCCTCCCTAGAGGCCCCTAACAAAGAAAAGGAATTTCAGGTGTTCCTAAACCAGATTAAATGGTAACATGAAAAGAAAGGTACTGCAGTTGGAAGCACTAATCATGGTAGATCTATCAAAAACTTACATCAGCCTTTTCCTCTTGATCAGTTTGTTATTCCTCTGCTTTATCTGCTCAAAAAAGGCAACAGAGCAGAGTTCTTGACGTACAGAAATGGGACTTGTCATCACTGGTAATTTTTACCTGCTTAAAAATATTTACATTTAAAAAAAACCCCAAAACCCAACAAACATGAAACTGTTTCCCCTTAAATTACAGGCAGATCTTTCAAGCTCTGACAGAGCTGCTCACTGCATGAATTCAGGCACTGATTACAACCTCAGTTTTCTTAGTCAGTGGGAGCTGCAAATCTCAGATGCATGGCCTGTCCAGCTGGATGGCTGTAAAGATGCACACACAGGCTGCCGGTCCCATTTCCTCAGCCGTTCTTGGACAGAAGGTTTAGTGATTTGAGGGCAAATACTCAGTTACCATTACATAACCCAATGTGTGTCCTGGATGTTCTTATGTGTGCATACAGAAAGATCTGGTGAGTATTTCTGCCCTTCTGTGTTGTTTTTGACTTCCTCATTTTCATTCATTTATTGCTCAGGCTATTTCTGCTCCTCATATGCTAGTAGAAAAACTATTTTATCTTCTTTAGCTTTGATAGCTATAAAATAATGTCCTTGAGTCATTTACTCCCTTACTGGTTTTATACAGTTTCTACATTTTCTATCCAAGTAATTAATATCAGCTCCTCCCACATATTTACTAATAATTTTCACAGCAGCCTTATTTGTATCCCCCTATGGCTGCCTTCCTTGAATGCCATTTTTGACATTCAGTAAAATTGCCAGCAATCAGCCTCGCTTCTTCAATCCTGTCACTTCAGTTTTTATTGCACGTGCTCATTTTAGCGCCTCTATTACTGGTGGGGCTTTATTCTGGTTTTGTTTAGCAGGATCAGTTTCAGTGCTGCTTTCATAGAGTTTATCAACTCTAGTCCCAAACAGCAGGCAGAACAAGCTAGTTGGCATGACTGTACTGCTGAGGTCTCGCACTGCTGCCGGACGTGCAGCTGTATCTTGCGCAGATGCCTTGCAGGTGAAGCCGAGGATCGGAATTCCTGTACTGCAGCCCAGGCAGCACCCATAGTCCTGCCGTGCCGGGGGTGACACCAGGTTGTTGGCATAGGCCAGTCTTACCGAGCCTGGATTGCAACAGCTGCTTATTTCCTGCCCCTTCCAACCCGTCTGTGCAGGCAGCCGCATGTCCTGGTCGTATGCGGTGGCCTCAACGCACCACTCAAAGAGGAAAATCTTCACTTGCCTCCAAAGACAGCTTGGCATTAAAAATCTTCCATTTATCTTTCAGCTCTGCCATGAGAAGATCCTAGAAAACCTGCCCTACCTGTCCCACTGTTCCCCACAGGGATTAACTACTTAGCTGAATACAGCAGCGAGCTTTAACGATACATCGTCAGTAGCTGTAGAAGTCGACATACAGAGCATGCAGGAGAGAAGGAAGGAATTTCCTAGGAATTTGCTACCTCTAAGCTGTAGGAAACTATAAACTTAACACATCCAATGCATGAGTAACATTTGTTTTCTAGAATACTTGTGGCTTCTGGACTTATTTCATAAAGGAAAAGAGCTAACATTTATTTGGTGTTGATATTTGCGGGTAGAGAGCTGCACTTGTCATGACAGGGGGCTGAAAAGGGTGATAAACATCAGCAAGCAATCTTAGAAGATGCAGCACACCTCCAGTTTTTATTGAAGTCAGCGAAGGCTCATGATGTCCTCCTTCACCAGGCTGTGTACCTTGCAGAAGGATGATGTCAAACTTCATTCAGGTGTTGAATTAAACTAAGAAACTACAAATAAGGATCAGAAGCAGGCAAAACCAGAAAATTCCTAAAACAGGCATTCAAATTGTTGGGCTGATGGTGGTGAAAAACCTCACACAATGTTGAACGTGGCAGTAGGGCACTAGTATTTTATTCCATGAGCCATAGGAAAAAAAAAAGAAAGAAAGAAAGGAAAGAAAGCTCTCTTCAGCAACTGTCTGTTTTCCAATTTTGATTTAGGACTTAAAAAACAAATCAATAAACCTGCCAAGGAGAGAGAGTAACTTTTCTTTTCCTCCATATTTTTAAATTAGATGGGTGAGATCACTTTATACACTGGCCTCCACTGATTGCAGCACTGCTGCAAAGTCACAAACATTTCGTTAGAGCGGCTCTTCGCACAGCATTAACTTGACTCTTCCAGCTCTTTTCTCCAGCCACGCACCATGGCAGACATGAATTTCTACCCCAAGGACACACTCAACATGGAGGCAGAGACTGCCAAGACTTACATATCCAAAATGTCCCTTCCGGGAGCAGTTGTAGCAGTACGCCAAAGCGGAGCGCTCGGAGTGAGAACCGGCCGCCTTGATAGGTCCTGGCTTTGTCTGAAAGATGGAAACAGGCAAGAATTAGGTCTGGCAGTATTTCGAATGCTGAATTAAAAATAAATTAAAATTACATAAATACAATGTTATTATGCTTAAATCAATACATTCAAAATGCAGTTGGAATATTAAGTTTGAAAAAGAAGCAAGTGGCTCATATTACTGTAATTTTGCAGAGAAAGGTTCAGCCTGAGCATCACAAATGAGGTGGGAAGAGGCATCCCCGGTATTTATTCCACCTGGCCATGTTATTTCAGCTCTGAATACAAGAAAATGGGCTGCTGATTTATCTCTCTCCCCTCCTCCTCTTCTCCCAGCCCCCTGCCCCTCTCACAGATGTCCCACCATCCCCCGGGAGGGACAGGGCCATCAGATATTGCATCCACCAGCTGGATAGGCACGTTTGTGTATCACTGAACCAGACTCGCTTCAAGCAATATGGCAAAGATCCGACGGAGATACGGGGCCTTCACCCGCTGCCTTCCCAAGCCTGGACCCACTTCCAAGAGCAGTGCCCAGAAGCAAGCGCGCTACAGGGGACCCTGCCTGCCTTCCAAGAGAGCTGGGGACTGGTTCTGCTCCCAGCAGAGGAGACAAGATGCTACGGTCCGTAGCTGCTCTTGGGGCTTACACGGGGCAAAGGAATATTTAGCACACTCCATCGAATTCAGGGCAACAGGCAGCTCCTTTTCTTTTCCCCATGTAGCACCATGAAGTGGAATATACAAACATATTGTCTATTCCTTTACTTTTCACACATGCAAGCACATTCATACCCTAGAGAAGTCACTGCTGCAGAGCCTGTGCCTAGCAAGAGCTGGCACAGGTACGACCAACGGGTTCATGAATTCTGGCTAAAAAGCAGACAGGCAAAGGAGCAATCTTATTGCGTTCGGCATTGCACGCGTTTCCTTCTCTCTGGCGCTGAAGGAGCACAGAAGAGTGGCCTAGATTCCACAGACTCGGTAAAGCTCATTACAGGAGTTGCTTTTTTTCTTTAAAGCTGCATCACCACGCTCTTCTACTGTTAGAGCCACGGTGTTCTCCTATACAGCCTCCAGAAGAATGACAGCAGTGCTTGTAAAATAGGCAGAAACAACAGAAATCTTCCAATGCCATTTTTTATGAATCTGATCACACTTGCAGGGTCACCTTATTTTGAACCTCTTCAGCCTTGGATTTCATTGTGTGTTTCAGATTCGTGTTCCTCAGTTCACTTTCACTCACCAGAAGGAGGCTAAAGGAAGACTAAGAAGAGTGACACATCCAACAGTGATTTGTGACAAAAGGCGGGGAAACAGGGAGAGGCAAAAATCTGCCACCTGCCAAGTAATTTGTATATTTCTCATCCACGTCTTACAGTGAGAGCTCTCCCCCTGACAGT